GTCAGTTAGTATTTTTAATAAAGATAAAAAAGAAAAAACCGTTCGAAATTTGCATGAAGATAATGCTCGATTTTTATGGTTACCATTGTTAGTTGATATTCTTGTACAAATACCACATAATAATCAATCAAGTAAAAAAAGCTATTGAAAAACTTCGTCAAAATTACAAGTCGAATGAAGTTCTTCGTTACTATACAGCTGCTTCATTTTTATTTCGTTTATTTAATGAAGCATTTCGCATCGAAAATATTGATTTTCTCTTAGTGTTTCGTTTTTTTCTTAGCCAATCTGTATAATAACTTATGTGATTTATATGCTAAACAATTTTTAAATGATACCAACAATATTAATCATAGTTTAGAAGTATTTTGTGATCAGTTTATGACTATGAATGAATTTAGCATTATCAAAAAATATATCGGACGTTTGATATCGATTAATTCATTTTTTCAACAACAGCATACTATCCGGTTGCACGAATATTTGCTGGCTTTAGCGAGCAAAATAAACCACCAGATAGAATATCTGTTTTATTTCAAATTGAAATTGATGACGTTAGTCATTCATTAAAAAGACCATTTGCTTCTATACGAGAGTTTTCTAAAAATTAAAGATGAAGATGAGATACTCTTTTCTGTTGGCACAATATTTCATGTTGTAAACGTTATTAATGAACCCGGAAGTAATCAAGATTGGTACGTAAAATTGAAATTAGTCAATGATAATGGAATAACTGAATTTCAAAAAGAATTAGAACAAAAATTTTGCACTAATTGCGATTTATGTAGTCTCGGATCTGTTTTAATTAAAATCGGTGATTATGATAAAGCAGAACGATATTTTCATATTATTCTTGAACATGCTACAAGAAATCAAGAAATTATTCCTAGAGTATTTACATATCTTGGAATTATTTATAATAATAAAGGTAGTTATCAACAAGCGTGAGAATATTGTACAAAACGAAATCATTTGCATCATTATGAGAATGAGATTCGACAAACATATACTCATATTATTTCAAATTATAATAAACTTGGTAATAATCAATTAACATTGGATTATTTTCAAAGATCATTAGATATTGATGAAAATATTTTAAAACTCCATAAGTATAATCCAATATTAGCTACGAACTATAATAACATCGGTAAAATATACGTGAAATTAGGAGATTATGAAAAGACTTCGAAAACTTTAGAATATGTACCAAATGTACGTCTTAAAGGTATAGTTTTGACACACACAGATCTTGCGGCTATCTATAATAATTTGGGTAATGCTTATTTTCAAAGAAACTGTTTAGAAAACGCACTTGAAATCGATACTAAGACTTTACGTGAATATCATCCGAACTTAGCTGTAGCACATAATCATATTGCTTCAATACATGGTGAAAATCAAATAGAATATTTACCTAATAATCATGAGATTTCGCACATACCTATTTATCATTATCGTTTGTCTATGAAAAAGAAGGAAATATTCCAAAAGCATTAGAATATTTAGAGAAATCCGTTGAAAATGCTCGTATTTCAATATTATCATATGATTCAGAGAAATCTAACAAGTTTCAAAAAAAGTTTATATGTATTCAAAGCAGAACACTTTGGTGAGAACAAAACTTCGAAGAAAGTAATTTATATACAAGCTGAGACATTGCGTAATACCGACGAACAAGATGAATTGATAAATGACTGTATACAAGAGTTGAAACAAATTTCATTAAATAACTTTTCACAGCGTATCACATTGCTTAATACTCTTGGAACACTCTATTCTAGAAAAACAAACTATCAAATGGCAATGAAATGTTTTGAAGAGGCTACCTCGCTTTATAATCAACATACTTCATTTACATTGACAGAAGAACAAGAATTGAAAAGTCTCATGATACTTGTACACTTTAATTTCGCAAGATTACATTATCGTCAACAAAATCAAGCAACGATATTTCAGATCTTAGAGAAATTATTCAATTGAGTTTCCAAACAAGATCAAATGTTACCTGAAGTTTATAATTTTGCAGGAATAATGTCTGGATATAAAGGAGAGCTATCAAAAGCTGAGCATTATTTTAACTTGGCTATCGAAATAGCAAAAAAGTGTCTTCCAAATAATCGTCCAGACCTTCAACGATACAATCCTCAAATGAAACAATTAAAAGATCGTATGTAATGCGTGTCAGAAAAACATAAATTTGATTTGTTTCTATCAAACATTTATAATAACAGTACGATATGATTTATTTTTCAGCAAAAAGAACTATAGAATTTATTCTGATTCTATCCAATTATTCATATTTTTTCTTGACGTGTACGTAAGATTGATTTCGAATTTATGAAAAATAAAGAAAATAATTGCTTTAAAGAAATTACTTTCAACAAACCAGGAAAGATATTTAGTCAATTCTTTTAACATATATTTAAAAATATCTCCATATTGCAAAGTTGATCATACGAAATAATTCAAATCGAACTTTTCAGCCTGTTACATATAAAGAGAGAGATTTAGTAGTGTTCATGATGAGTTATCTTTTATTTTTTTAACATACATTAAAGAAGGCATGAATGTGAGATGATTTTGTCGATATGAATAGAGAAAATACTTACGTCGATACCCAATTATAGAAATTTTTACACTGTTTTTTTTTTGGTATATTTTGTTGGTTTTAAGAAAAACATATAAGATGTTAAAAAAAAGACAAATCTTGTTCGTGTAGGGAAAAGATCATATTTTTTTTTGAAACAGAAAAAATCGATTTCCCAATATCTTGCTTTCTTTATGGAAACAAAAGTATAGAATTAAAATAAACTATACTTCGTAATCTGTAGTTTTTTTTATGAAGTTATTTTCATCGATCTAAAAACAAAAAGTGTAATCAAAGAATAACTAGACTTCTATAAATTGTAGAGCTTATTACGTTGCATCTTATGATGCATTTTGTCTTGTATTAAAATATTTTATACGATAAAAGAATAGATAGAAAATGCAGCTGTAAATGTGGATTTAGGGCATACATACCCACATTCTCTTCATTTATGATCCGGTGATAACCTTTTTCACATCGATGATCAGTGAAATTTCCTAAAGTTGAACACTTAAACGTACGAAAGTTTTCATAAACCTTATTGGTTAGTAACAATAAACCTAATTTTTAACGAGCTTTTGTTTGGTATAAAATTCATTACTTACTCTATCTAAAATTATAGCGATATCTCCGGGTAAAATATTATTTCCAACCTAGTATGAATCTCATATGAGACCAAATTCACCTTATGATTAATTATGATCACGTCAACAAAACGAAAGGAGAGATTTTCAGAAATCAAGACTAGGATGTACTACTACACCTATCAAATTCGTACATATCTATTAAATTTAATCAAGAGTCTAAAATTCTGCAGAATGGCTGATGTAGATGGGAGACCGAAGCCACATTCGAATCAAGTGTTTCCTATTTGTTTTCATCAATTGTCCGTATACACAAAAACTTAGTTCCACAACTCACTAATCCAAATAGGTACATATTCCTTTTTTATTTTTTCTTTAGTAACAATCAATCCTCATTCTTAATACGTTTCCTAAAACGAATCTATTTGTTAACCATTTCTTTTTTATTTTGCACATCAATTGGAAAAAAACAAATAAGTATCATTTCAGAAAAGGATCTTTAAGTATACTAGGTGTAAGATATATATTTAAAATAAAAAATTACATCGTGACTTTATAACTTTTATTGAAAATTTTCTTTAGAAAAACATCTTGATTATTTACGAATGAGACAAAATCATATAGAGACTGTTCATTGGTGACAACTAAAATGCTTTATTCTATTTGTTTTTATAATTTCGAAAGTTAAGAAGTATGAAATATATTAAAAGAAAAGTTCAGCTTTTTTTGATTACATGTATATTATATATTTAATAATATACATCTGAAAATTACATCTAGAAACTTTGAAATTTCTTGATGTGTAATCTTATTTAACCCTTTCACTGTCATAGTATAAAAATATCTGCACCTATTTTGTTGAAAGGAAGTAATAAAGAGTGTTCTAAAACCTTTCCAAAAGAGTCTTTATTACAAGCGCCGTCTCCACATTTTTCTTGTTTGTTCCTCTTGTGCCCTGAATATTACAACTCTCAAAGAAAGTATATAAGGCGGAGGTTACGGTCAAATTATTCTTCATCAACAATAATTAGTGTACAACCGAAGCGAAAAGCGTAGGTCCAGTCTTCACTTCAACCCACACTCACACTCTTGTATTGTATTTCATAAACTGCAAAGATATCAAGGCATGTGAAATGATCATTTCTCAAATGTGCAGTCAATGAAAGTTTAGGAAGAAGACAAAATGGATTAATAATTTTGATCTTATCTCATGAGTTTTTTCAAATAAATCATATTACATCTAGTTTGTTCTATTACGGATCGAATTTATAATAATAGATACAATTACGATAATTTCATGCACACCTTCAAAACTTAAGTATGCTTAAGAGATTCGTTATTCTCAGATTTTGTTTATATTGTATCATATAAAAAATGCTGTATGGATTCAGTGGTCATCACATGAAAATAAGTCAGAGAAACTTGTTTTCGTTCTGGTTTAATGTGTCATCTGTGATTGTATCATTGAACTCTGCTTTAGAAACAAAAATAATCAAGATCAGAATACAATTGACCATTCACAGAAAAATGTTAAAGTTTTCATGCTTAATGAGTTCTTGATGGTTTCCTATTTATTGTCTTTCCAATTGAGAAAAAACACGATGAATATTTATAGCTAGAAGCATAGCAGGATTTCTTCGATCAGAGAGCAATGAATTTTATGAGGACAATATGTAAAAATACTCGGATTAGTACTGGTAGTGACTAACTAACGATCTGTCTGGAATATAAACTCTAGAAACAACAGAAGAGAAACTAAAAGAATGTAAATATCATCTCTATAACAAAAAAGGTGTTATGGACTCGTGTGGATTCGCCTTTAATTTTTTTTTTCAAGGGTGAGTATAGCAGGGTGTGCATGTGTCGATATCCCGCTGTCTATCGATACTATGATTCATATACACTCACTTCCTCACAAACAGCAACAGTCTTCTCAATAATCAAATTAAAATGATATTGATGAGTCGACAAGAAGATTCTTGCTATTGAGAAAATATTTAGTGCAGCTATATAATTGGTTTACAATAAGATGAAATAAAATTGATGAACGACAATTGTAATTCATTATTTGGTTTTACATTCACATATTGAATGATAAAGAGAAATGTTGAATTAACAATCTTACATGCTGTACTCTTCGCTGCACAAGGTGCAACAGCCGAGAAAACATTTGCTTTATAACAATATAATATTTGTGCATAAGTCAGCAATATAAAAAATGTAATAATTAACACTGTTTGGCGTGTATTACATATAGAACTCATCTGTCGGGTTAAAACATTCCTTGATAATGATAGATAACGATCCCAGCAAGAAGCAATCGTGAACCAAATGATAAGACTCAACGTAACATTGCTTATATAAACGAATAAGATGCTACTATAAAAGAACAGTATAATTTGAAATCCAATGCGAATACGTGATAAGATGGTTGCGTAGATCACTGGTATGACTGATAAAGATAATGCAAACAAATATGGTATGCATGGGGATGAAGATCAAAGAATTTGACGAGTGAATACAATCACATTGAAAAATGTACCAAAACTACCAAATACAAGATAAATGATACCCCATGAAGCAATCAGACGACTTCTTATAGTGTGAATCCGTAATGACATCTAGTTGCTCGATAATGAATTTTTCATTCTTGTTATTTTGTTCCGAAAAAGATTGCTAATATAAATAATTGTTTGAGAATAGATTAGACATCAACCGAATGAAGGAGACCTTATTTGAACATGGTGTATAATAAAAAGAAAATATACGTTGAC